GGAGAAGGGAGTCTTTTAGAGCAGCTAACATTGTCTGGAACAATTTCACTATGCCAAGACACAGCTTCATTAGCTGGCTTGCCTGGAAAGGAAGATTACTAACAGTGGAAAGGCTGAAGCAAATGCAGGTGGCAGTAGGAGATGACAGATGTGTTTTGTGTCATACAGAGCAGGAGACTATCAATCATCTTTTCTTTAAATGCACATATGCAAAAGAACTGATAGAAGTTATGGGAAAATGGCTAGGGATTCAAACTGTCATTGCATCTTTGCAGGCTGGAAGAATCAAAAGAATTTGGAGGAAGCAGAAGACAAAGCAAAAGATCCTGTTTGCTATCTTGAATGCAGTGATATATCATATCTGGTCAGAGAGAAATTCCAGGAAGTTTGGAGGGCAGCTGATAGATGCAGCAACCAGAGGTGGAAGAATCCGACAGGAACTATTGTGGAAATGGCAGTTTTGTGCTGAAAAAATGAAAACAACAGGAAGTACAGTCTTGAAAATTTTGCAGTGTTTGATGGCTAGAGTCTGAAAAAAATGGAATTGTTTGATAGCCTAGCTAATTGGGGGATTGGTGTTTGTAAATGAGTTTGTGCAGATCAATACAACTTACATTTTATTTTAAAAAAAATGATAAAACAAAACATATAGAAATATGATTACTAATAAATGTTAACTTTGTGATGGAGAAAGTTTTCCAAAATGAGATAAAGATTAAAGATTTTTGTGAGATACAAACAATAGAAGAAAATCATATTGAGATATTGAAAATATTTATATAGAGGAAAAAATCATATAAATATCAGTCTTACGCGCGACCAGTTCGTAACTCACATCATTATATTTTATCTGTGTCCGAGAAGTTCTGTCTACAAAGTTTGCTTGTACATTGCTTTGACTGCGTTCAACATATATAATCCAACTCTCTCTCTCTCTATATATATATATACATTATTATAGTTTTTTGTGCAAAAATAAATAAATAAGAAGAAGAAACAAAGCCATAATTACATAGGAAACCATTCTTCAATAGTAACTATTGTGCTTTAATTTTGATTCCGGAATCTAGCAGAAAGACTTGATTTTTTCTAAATTGAGTGGTTGGACAGAAGCGTCAGTATTTTTATTATAAGAATAAAATTTCAATAGAAATGATCTAAGCCAAGTTGCCAACTTTTTTTCGCCTCGATAAAGTTAACGAGAAAATCAACAAACTCCAAAATTTAATTTTGCATTATTTTCCACATTTGTTATTGTAGGGTAATAAATTATCGAATCCACGTTGAATGAACCATGTAAAGATCAGCAAGGACTATAATTGATACCGTACACTCTATTTTCTAGTTGGTTACCTACTTTTAAAATACAACCAAAAACTAAATGCAGTCAAAAATAAATTTATATTTAGTTTTCTAATGCCTATTGGTTCATTTAAATATTATTTGATTAGTTGTATCTATGCAGAAGTCACACGATACTTATTTGTTTTTCATATATCTTTACCTAAGCCGCGAATGCCAAAACCGATTGTTTTGGATTATTTTATAATTTTTTTTTTATTGTGCTATCATAAATTGTTGCTCTGACGTTCTACGAATGCCCTGAAATTCGACAGAGATCAAACTTGATACCATGTACTCTCTATCTTCCACGTGTTGGTGTTGATTTTGCCACCGAACCGGTTGATTTTATTGTTTGATTGCCCTTAAGCCTGTGTCAACGAGCCTTCATATCCTGCTATCCCAATGTTTGGTAAGTTGAAGAATGTCAAAATTTTGCTACCTCCTGCAGTGATGATAACATACAGTTGTAGAGTGCGTAATATGGCCCTGGACTTGCATGCACCAAACTTAGAGGAGCTCAGAGTTGAATAGGTACTACACATGATGCACTAAGTGTATGACTGCCCAAAAAAACAAAAATAAAATAAAATAAAATAGTACTATGCAAAAGGTTTGAGTTTAGATGGAATTCCTTGGTTGATCATCTCAAGACAGTAAACCTTATGCTTTGGGAAGCGGGAAGTTGAAAGCCTTTGCTCTTGTGTCTGAATTTTCATTGCACCAAACAATTCTGAAAGAGAAATGTAGCAGAATTTTGTTTATAGCATAAGAGTAATAATAAGAATAATAGTGATGAACTAATATGTTGGATTAAAGAAACTCAATATAAAATGATTTCAATAAAAGACTCAAACTCCCTATGTATACAAATTTGCTATTCAAAATTCTGGATCATTTGTTTCACTTCTTCAACCATGAGCCAAGCTTTATGTCCTCCGATTACTTCTGCTTTCATCTCCCCATCTTTCCACAGCTGCACTATGGGATTCTCATTTTTTACACAAATTAATATGAATATAAAAATCATACTCATTTCCCATCAACAATTCAAAAGGGGAAAAGAAGATATTATTAATAGGACATTACATCAAGATTTTAACTCACCTGAATTGTGGGCATTTTCTGCGAGAAAGCAAACACACCATTAACACAGAGATATAAAAATCAAAGCAACTATTAATTATTAAGGAAATAAAATATAATTTGCAATAAAATACAATTCTTCTTTTTAGATTTGATCAGCGAAGGTGCATTGGATAAATATTAGTAAAGTAGCAACGATGCAGGTGAAATCATTGTTTTAGAATATTAATACAAGTCATAACAAAATACTACAACTCATAACAAAAGAAAAAAAAATAGTCTAATAATACTACATAAAAAGTCTAATACCTTACTTTTTCTTGGACTTTTTAGCTATGTATTCAAAACCGGGCCGAAAAGTGAACCGCTAACATGACCGGGTTTGTGGGTTAACCAGGTTGATCGGTTAGCTCGTTCTCAAAACCAGTGAAAACCGGTTAAAATAATATTAAAAAATATTAAAAATTAATTTTTAAAAAAATATTTATGAAAAACCGGTTTAACCGGTGCCAATTTCTGGTGAAACCGCAATTTTGTCTAGATTTGACCGAGTTTGACCGAATTTTTAAAATTTGGTTCATTTTTAAAAACCATACTGATAAGACTTCTGGTTTCCGGGCTAACCGGTTCGACCGCCCGATCCGGTCCGGTTTTGAAAACACAGCTTTTTAACACGAAAGTTGCTATAAGTTTAGGGTCTATGACTTAGTAACTATGGATTATTATCAATATTATTTATCTAAAACTTAAGTTTTTTCATCAATTTTAATCATCAATGACATTAGAAATAATAAATTACGAAACATTAATTACAAAACTTAATTTATTATTAACATATAAATAAATGCGTATATTATTATCCTAAAATAATAAACTTACAAATATTTTCACAATCTAAAACCCAACCCACCCAAAACCCCTAAACCCAACCCACCCCAAAACCCAACCCAACCAAAAACTCAAAACCCCAACACACCGTAAACCCGACCCACCGCAAACTCCTAAACCCAACCCACCCCAAAATCCAAAAACTAAAGCCCACCCCGGAACCCAACCCTCTAAACCCAACCAACCCAAAACCAAAAAACCAAAGCCCAGCCCCAGAACCCAACACCCTAAACCTAACCCACCCCAAAACCCAATCCCAATACCCAAAGCCTACCCCGAAACCCAACCCTCTGAAGCCCAAACTCCAAAAACCCCAACAATAACAAATTCCATTTAAATAAAACTAAGTAGTAAATATGTAACAATAATGAATTTGATTAAAAGTTTTTGTTTAAGTCAAACTACGTAGTGCATATGTGACAAAAACAAATTTAATAAATTACATATTCCGTTTAAGTAAAACAAAGTAGTGCATATGTAAAAAGAACAAATTTGAAAAATAACATATCCCATTTAAGTAAAATTAAGTAGTACGTATGTAAAAATAACAAATTTTTTTAATAACAGATTCCATTTATAGGTATTACGTATGTAAAAAGAACATATTTGATCAATATCATGTTCTGTTTAAGTCAAACTAAGTATACATATATAAAAAGAACAAATTTGAACAATAACAAATTCCATTTAAATAAAAATAAGTACTACGTATGGAAAAAATAATAAATTTGATGAATAACCTAAAAATTTAGCCATTTTAATGTGTCAAAAAAAAAAAAGTAAAACTAAGAAATTTAATTAAATTGAGTATTCGGCTCGGATCCGGGATCCGGCCCTGTTCTCCTCCAAAAATTGTCAAGTCATTTTCCTCCATTTTTTTCCCGGTGACAAAGGGGCGAACCGATTCGGGTAGTATGGGGGTGTGGGTTTCAATTGGGGAGGGGAGGTTCTGGTTGGATTCGGCGGAAAAATCAGGTGACCTTCATGGCGCCGGGCAATATGGGGGCTGTGGGTTTCAGTCGGGGAGGGGAGGTTTTGGTTGGATTCGGCGGACAAATCCGTGACCGTGATGTCACCGGGAAATATGGGTTCCAGGATGGGTGGGTGTGGGTTTCAGTCGGGGAGGGGTGAAATTGAGAAGAAGAAGAAAATAATTATTTTGTTACAAAAAAATAATAAAATTACTTACGCGTTTTCAAAACGCTAAAGCTAAACTTTCTGAATTTTTTTTCCCCACTTTTTTCACCCGGATAAAGTGAAAATTATATGGGGCACCCGGTGCTCCCAAGTTAGGGTCCACCGGGATGGGCGCGTGTAGGCCAGAGTTTAAAAATCACGTCCCCATATTTTAAAAAATAGAGGGCTCCTTACGCGCACCCACACTCCTCCCCCGCTTTCTTCTTCTCCTTTTTTTACGACCTAATTTTGCAATTGAACAATCACCGGCGATCCTCCGTCTCAATTCTTGATTTGCCGTGGCGGATTTTTACTAATTTTTAACGGCAATCTTTCCTTCGTCTTCAATTCATGTCGGTGATTATAAGGTAACTCTTATTTTGCTAGATGTCTTTGATTTAATCAGAATCTTATCGCCCGTGTCGTATGAATTTCAATCTCATCAGCAATAGCGTTTAAATTGTTTCACGAGATTCATTGCGTTTTTTGCGTTTGTTTTCGTCTGGAAGATGAGTTGTTCGGAAGGAATGTCTGTTGTTCCTAATTCTGGTGCCATAGTCCCTTACTCAAGTGAAGAATCAGACGATGAACGCATCGTTGATGCGGAAGAATCAGACGATGACCACATCGTTGTTGCGGAAGAATTTGATGAAGTCATTTCTGTTGAAGGTGAACCTCAATTTCTTTATAACTGAATGAATTTCAATATTCAGAATGTTTTTATATTTTTTGTCTTCCATGAGCATTGTAGTTTCGTGTGATGAACATTTTGAGTTTTAGGTGAACTGTAGTTCATGCAGAACTACTTTTGATGTTTTTTTATTTGCTGCAATAAGCATTATAGTTTTGTGAGATGAGCATTGTTGTTACTGACATGAGCATTGTAGTTTCACGAAATGAGAATTTCATATTTTTACATGAACTATATCACACTTTCGTTTTTTCATGGATTAGTTGTGGATGATTTTTTATTTTTTTTCTTTATAGATGTAGATCTTCTTGGCCGTGAGTTCAAATCAGTTGATGAGGCGTATATATGTTATTAGTCGTATGCTAGAAGACTGGGTTTCAGTATTAAGCGCTTTAAGAACAGGTATAGGGCAGGTGGCGACTTGAATGTGAAACAGTTTACTTGCAATGAACAAGGGGGTGCAATGTTGCACAGAGGGAAAGGGCTTTGCAACAGGATTATTACTCGTACTGGAAAGGGCTTGAGTAAGGGAAAGGGCTTTGCAACAGGATTATTACTCGTACGGGATGTGGTGCAATGTTGCAGATTAAGGTTGATGCGGAAGGCATTTGGAAGGTGGTTGTGCACAAAGTTGATCATAACCACAAAATGATACCTGAAAATCATCGTCACTTGGATCGGTCACATAGGCAGATGCCCGATAATGATGTAGCGCTTCTAGCTGGGATGAAGGAGCACGGAATTGGCCTTACACACGGGTATAAGATGCTGCATAAGCAAGGGGATGGTTCTCCCAACCTAAATTACACCATCACGTATGCGAGAAACAAGTTGGCTGCACTTGAACGTGCGAGGTGGGAGTGTGGTGATGCGAATAAGTTGCTCGATATTCTAAGGAAGAGGAAAGTAACTGAGCCTGACTTTTTCTTCGATTTCTTGCATGACTCCTCTTGTAGGTTAAGTGCCATTTTCTAGAGAGATGCTAAGCTGAAACATGATTATGAGGTGTTTGGGGATTTGGTGGTGTACAACACAACCTATAGAACAACGAGGTACAAACTTGTGTGTGCGCCTTTTACGGGAATAAACCATCACTACCAAAACATCACATTTGGGATTGGTTTTTTGCTAAATGAAAAGACCAAGTCATTTGAGCGGCTTTTCTCTAAGTTTTTGGCGTCAGTGGGAAGTAAAGAGCCAGCCACTTTGATGACTGATCGAAGTACATCAATGGCGAGCGCCATTCCGGAAGTTTTTAAGGAAGCATGCCATCGCTTGTGCACATGGCACATAGGCAAAAACTCAAAGAATCACATTGGCTATTTGAGGGCAAAAGAAGGGTTTTTGGATTTGTTCTGTTGGTGTTGAGATGCACGGAAACACAGGCTGAGTTGGATTACTACTGGAAGAAGTAAGTATGCTTTTTTGTGACTGTTTGGACAGAACATTGTTTTTTCTAACATGAACATTGTAGTTTTGTAGAATGAGCATTGTAGTTTTATGCATCAGATACACTGTGACTATTTTGACAGAAGTGCATAAGTAGAGTTTCTGGCATGAAAATTGTAGTTTCTTAGCATGATAATCATTTTGTTTGTTCTGTTTTTTCAGATTGTGTGATGATTATGATTGCGCTGATAATAAATGGTTGTGGAAGTTACATTCCAATAGGCATAAATGGTGTCCAACCCTGAACAAAGACCGGTTTTCTGGTGGTGCACTTTCTTCACAGAGGAGTGAGTCGACCAACAAGGCGATTTGTCAGGAACTCTCAAAATATACGTGCTTGTGTACCTTCTATGATAAGTTTGAGGAGGTAGTGAAGGGCTGGAGGAAGAAAGAGACTCATGAAAATTTCAGGTGTAATATCGGACGTGTGGAGATGAAGTTCAAAGATGTGAATTTACTTACGCATGCACGTGAGTTCTACACGATTGAAGCCTACATGTTATTTCAATAGCAATATGAATTTGGTCTTTCTTGTGAATATTTGATGATTCAGCAAGTTAACAATGAGGTAGCATTATATTATGTTAAGCGTAACACTATTGATGTTTTCCAGCATCAGGTTCATTATAATGTTCGGACACATGAGATTTGTTGTACTTGCAACATGTTTTCTGATACTGGATTTTTATGCGCTCATTGTTTACGTGTTTACCATGTAAACAATTAAATATTGTTCCAGAATATTATATTTTGGGTCGGTGGAGAAGGAACGCTAATAAGCAATGTAGTGTTGTTGCTTCAATTAGTAATGGAGGGTCTGGGGTTGTAGGTTCTACAATTTGGAGGTCAGATGTTATCGGCAAGTTTATTAGGATGGTTTCGGAAAGTGAGCTTTCTCCAGTAGCTAAACAGCTTATCGAGGAAGGTCTGAGTGTGATGGCAAGAGTGGTCGAGGCCGAAGTTAGGGCTATACAGTCTAGAGAGACAGAGGAAAAAGAAGAGGCTTCAGCATCAAATGCGGTTGTTAAAGATCCTGAGCAAGTGAGGCAAATTGGTGATTTTAATGTAAGGTAGGTAAGTACTGTGGAGAAGAAAACCAATCAAGCCCGGGAAAAGTGGAAGAGAGCAGCGACCGTGAGGACAAAGAAAGCTATTTACAGTAGGATGGCATCTAGTGAACCCAAAGTTGTTAGCTGTTATATGCATCCGGTCTGTCCTGATCAACCCTTACAAGTTTCAGTTTAAAGGTGCACCCAGAGCAAGGCGGGTAGATTTTTGGAGTTCCTGTGAACAAACATGCAGTTTTGCAGGATGAGCAATGATGGCTTGGAAATGAACAATATGCTTCTGGAAATGAACATTTTGTTTTCTATTTCAGTTTCTCAGGATGAACAATGTTAGGCTGGAAATGAACAATGAAGGTTTCTGACAGTTTTGTTTTGTTTTGTATTTTTTTTTTTTTTGAAAATACAATTTTGTTTAATTGTAACTGCCCCTTAAACTTCTCCTGGAAGTTATTAAATGAAAAGACACATTTACAATGAACATAGACCAATTTTTATCCCAAGTATTTATGTGCCTTTTAAATACTTCTCATGAATTCCAATTATTAAATGAGAAGACACATTTCAGAATTCCCTAATGTACATTCATTATCCACAGAAGAGGAATAGTTAGGGGCAGGGAGAAAATCAAGAGCTTCATTCTTAGAATTCATCTATAAAAAATGAGATCATCCTACCATTTCTACCACACTTGCAATTCCTATCTTTTCTACCTTTCTATTATTCAGCAAAAATAATGTCTTCTTCCACCAGATATCAAAGAATGCTTGAAAGTAACAATAACATGCCCTTTTGCTTCTTTGTATTCTATCTTTTTTCAACTTAAACGTGATTGATTTCTAATGTTTGTGTTTTCATGTAGCACGACTGCAAGCAAGGGTTGATCTGTTAAGGCTGATGATGGAAAGAACCCAACAGTTTCTGAGGGATTCCAGCAACATAAGGACGAGGAGGGCACGACTGAATGAGGATTTCCCCAATAGGGTTAGTACAGTTTGTGCTTTTTCTATATTACTTTACTCCATGTGTTTATATTCAAGTACAAGCGAAGGAGTTTTGAACTACTTATATCCATGTTGCTGATCTTTGTATAATCAGGGTGATCCGGCAAGGCGAGCTTATCTACGTCAATTGCGTAGGGCTGAAAGGAGGTTCCTGGTACGCAACCTCAATTTCGTATGCATGCTGCCCAAGACGCCGCTCGTCCCACGCAAGATGCTGCTGCACCCTTGCCTCCCCAGAACCCGCCCCTCCCAGAACCCGGCTCCCTAGAACCCTTGAATGTTTTCTTTTTTTCATGTTATAAGACAGATTCATGAACATTTTTTAAATTTTTTTTGTAAAAAATATTTTATTATTAATGTTATTATTTTTTTTTTTTTGTTATTGAACAATTTGTTTTATGAACATTTGTTGTTGGTTTGTAAACAACAGTTATTCTGTTATTATACGCTGTTTTTTCCTTTTTGCTATGACTAACAGAAATTGCAGGCCAAGATGCACATCATAGTTTTACCGGAAGAACATCAGGTAGTACAGGAAGCACATCAAGTTTCCACAGTTGAACTTGCCGTTTCGCAGTGAACTTCAGGCATAGGATGAACTTTACAGCTTCGCAGGATGAGCATTCCCTTCATGGACGTGAACAGCAGTTAGAAAGAAGAGATATTAGATTTTTTCCCAATAATAGACGTTTGAATTTAGGATGAACAATATAGTTTTATAGGATGTGTATTGTACATTGTTAACTGCACAACAGAAGATACTTATTGAAATTTTATTTTGATACCAAATCGTATAAAAATTTTGTTGTGTTTTTTAATTGTTATCAAGATGACAATAGGTGTAAATCAATTAACTTACAAAATTAAACCAAAATAAAAAAAATTAAAAATTCATCTCCGTGTCGGTTTAGTTTGTGTCGGGAAACGATTAACCCTAGCCTAATCGGTTTAAAAAACTTTTAACAAAAAAAAAATTAAAAATTCATCTTCAGATGAACATTGTGTTTTATATGATGAGCATTGTTTAAAATTGTTGTTTAAACAGATGAACATTGTGTTTTACAGGATGAACATTATAGTTTATCAGAAAAATTAAAAACATTCAACACCGTATCGGTTTAGAGTTTAAGGTTTGGGGGCGTTTAAGCATTGCGATTATAGGTTAGGCTCTAGTTTGTGCCGGTAAATGATTAACCTTTTAAATTTTTTGCAAACAAACGAGACCCTAGCCTAATCGGTTGCAAAAAATTTCAACGAAAAAAAATTTAAAAAAATTCAACACCATGTCGGTTTAGAGTTTAGGGTTTAGGGTTTGGGGAGGGGGAGGGGTTTAAGCATTTCGATTAAAGGTTAGGGTCTAGTTTGTGCCGAAAAACGATTAACCTTTTAAATTTTTTGCAACCAATTAGACTAAGATCCTAATCGGCTGCAAAAAATTTCAACAAAAAAAAAAAGATTCAACACCGTGTCGGTTTAGAGTTTAGGTTTTAGGGTTTAGGGGGGTTTAAGCATTTTGATTATAAGTTAGGGTCTAGTTTATGCCGGGAAACGATTACCCTTTTAAATTTTAAACGAGACCCTAGCCTAATCGGTTGCAAAAAATTTCAACCAAAAAAAAAAAAAAATTAACCAGATGTACATTGTGTTTTACAGATTGAACATTGTAGTTTAACCAGATGAACATTGTGTTTTACAGGATGATTATTGTAGTTTAAACATATGATCTTACAGGACTTGTGACAAATAAGGACCGTGACTATTAGATAAAGATTGCAGTATAACAGGATGCACATTTACATTGGTGGAGTGAACAACAGAAAAGTGCAATGAATTTTATACTCTCATAAGACATTTTAGAGATTGCAGCAGGACTCACATTGTTGCTACAAACTTTTAGGGTTTAGGGTTTAGGGTTTAACCAGATGAACATTGTGTTTTAAAGTTTAAGGGTTTTTAAGGACATTGTAGTTTAACCAGATGATCTTATAGGACTTTTGACAAATAAGGACCATGACTCTAAGATAAGCATTGCAGAATAACAGGATGCACATTTTAATTGGTGCAGTGAACAACACAAAAGTTTAATGAATTTTGTACTTTGAAAGTGACATTTCAGCACTAGTTGAATTTACATTGTAGCTACAAACTCCGGGGATGGTAAGTCAAAACTTGAAGTCTACTAGCAGTGAGCACTAGTTGAATTTACATCAGACCTTTTAGCCCTATACATTTTCTAGATAAAATCTATCGATCTTTCTCTAAAGCTCAGCCCTATACAAGTTGTAGGTTCTTGACTGCAGGATCTCAGATAGATATCTCACACGCAATGTTTCAAGTTTTTTTTTTGCAGGTTTGTTCTTGACCTCTGTTTAAAAGCGTCAAAAAGAAAACAAAATAAACATCAAGTGAGATCAGGTAAACGCTGAAACCAATAGGAAAGGACTAAAATGATATAGTTTTACCGGTGTTATGTCATATGCCGGAATGCCACATTTGTAATCTTTTAGTGAGCCATTGAATGTTTCCATGTGGCGCATGGTATATGTTGCACAATCCTTATCGTTGGTCTGATCAGCCCACAGAAGTAGAGGAACATTGTGCTGGAATGTTTTAATATCACGCGGCAGTTGCATACCTTGCTTTTCAAGGTACCTCGAGAAAGCAGATTTGATGAACGTGACAACTCCACCGTACTTGTTTTCAAATGGTATTTCACCTTTGCCCACATTTGGCTTGTTGTCTAAAACATACAGAGTTTGATCGTCCATGTTGAAACAAAGCAGATAGAAGTGAAATTCACAGCGAACTGGAAAGAATAATTGCAAAATACATCATTTTCACACAGTGAGCATAGTGATTTCACAGGATGAGCAATGAAGCATACAGGATGAGCATAGTGCTTACCAGATTCTTTAACATAAGGCTCCTAGCCGACACATTCTAGGATGCAAGGTCACTTGTAATTCTCTCATATCCTGCTTGGATGGCTTTTTCCAATGGTTGACCCGTCTTTTTTTCAATTTCGAATAAGAGCTGTAACAAAACGTTGATGACGTAACTATCCTTAACATATGATATGCATATTAAACTACAAATAAGTGATGAGTAAAAGAGTCTTACAAACACCGAGGAGGTAAAAAAATACTTCCTCGGCCGGGAGTTCTGCGACTTGTGCAACTCATTTAGATTGAGCGACCAAACATCAATAACATTTTTGTACAACTGCTCATCAATACGGAACGACTTCAAACTGTGCCTGTCCAGATAAAGGTACATCACAGGTTCTTTTCCCATTGGTTTGGCTTCATAGCTCATATACAGGGTTTCCCTGCACCAGAGTGTAGTTCCGTAGGATGAACATTATACTTTATCAGGACGTACATTGTAGTTTAACAGAATGCACATTATCCTGCTTACATGTAGTTTAACAAAAACTCAATTAAACATAATACTTTAACAGGATGAGTATTAGAGTTTATGAGTTGAATTTTAAATTTTTAAATGCATACCAATGAATGTACTACTGTACAATATCTTGTTTCTTTTCAAGAGTTTGTGGACTTGGCGGCCTAGTGATTGGTGGAGTCGTTGGATATTCGTCATGCTGGAAACTAATGGCAATTGGAACAGCTGCATATTCTCGGCTAGTCAATGAGTTATCATGATCAAGATTCTCAGCACTGGAGTCTTTCTCATCGGGAACATTGACAGGTTGTTGCGGAAAATTTTTAGAAATGCCTAGGCCAAAATTTGACCCATTAGAAAGTTATGGGACGTTATGCTTGGCTTGCTGTATAACCTGGTCAAGCGTCCTAATGCACTCCAACATTTCCGAAGAACTCCACCATGCATCCATCTGTGTTTCAGTTTCAAAACCCCATACTTTTGGGTTCGGGGGCTTGTCATACTCGGGTATCTGAGAGCCATCTGCTTTTTGCTTTTGATTTTGGTCAGCACGAATTGAGTTGACTTTTTGATCTTCAGTCTTTTTCCCTACATGAGCCGCCATTCTCTTCAAGACTTCGGCGTAGTCGTTGAAAGATTTAAGGAACATGTTGTGTCCATCGATTCCATTTCGATCGGCTTCTTCAATTAACTGGCCCAGGTCAAGGCAAAGGGGCCCCATCCTGTTCACCATCACATGTTGGAACCTAGTTCCAAGATCCAATTCCTGAAGAGTAAAATGAAAATTGAACATCAGAAAAAATCAACATTAGCATACAGGATGAGAATCGAAGCATACAGGATGAGTAACAAAGCATACAGGACGAGCAACCACAGAAACAATACAACAACCTTTAAATGAACAACTGAATCTCATAGGATGAACGAAGGTCCAGAGATTTTATGTACCTTATCTTTAGTTGATGTATGTCCTTGATTTTCAGGCTGTGCCAGCGAATCATCAACTTTCCTCATCTACTCGACTTGGATGGGCTCATCCTCATCCATTCTTTTCGGTACTGCGATCCTGTCCAGAGGTTCGCCACTTCCAAAGCCTGCACCCCTACGTTCCAAAGCCAGCCTGTTTGTTACTCTGGTGTTGTCCCAGTGAGCAATCACAGGAAACTGCCGGGGGATTTCATCCCCACCTTTGTACTCAACTCTATCCAAATAGCACAACTACAATGTTTTATGGTACCAACGTAATATTCAGTTATTTCACATACAAAATTAATAAAGAAGGGAAAAAAATAAAGAAAAATAAGTGAAATATACTATGAGAAAGATCAATGGCCCATTGAAAGCACCCTTAGGATTATTCTGCCACTCCTCGACCGCGTCATAGAGTCCATCCCCTACATACTTGCACCAATTGTAATTTTTTATGTCATCGATGTTCATAAATGATTTCATTACTTGGTAGCAGCAACACTCATTCTTTGTTCTGAGGAGCATGCTAGCCATGGAAAACAACACAAAGTACCTACAATGAAGTAGCACACAAGATTAGCAATGAAGCATACATAATGAGCATCAAAGCATACAAGATGAGCAACCACAAAAACAATACAGGAACCTCTTTAAAACATTGAAGCATACCTTTTGAATTCTTCTCCATACACTCGGTTTCTTTGCTCTTCAGGAAAAATTTTCGGGTCCGGGCAATTAGGATCACCCGATACAAGGTAGTTCCCAATTTTGGTTGTTGTGGGCGATCCAGCATTTGGGCCTTTCATTTTGAATGTCTCCCTCATCTGCCGGACAAGATTCCTGTACTCTTCGGACTTGTCCCTAGAATTATAGGCTTTAACTACTGTCTTCGGACCACATGGTAGTCCAAGCACAGCTTCCACATCTTCTTCTGTGATCTTCAGTTCTCTTTTTCCATTTTGATTCAGCAACGTTTGTTGTTGAACTTGAGATTTTCTAACATGTAAAGGGACAAATCCGGGTGTGAAAATTTATAGATTCTCATGCTCAAAAGGTGCCCAAACCTGTTTCCTGAACTAGCTTTCTTTGGTGAGGGTCAAGCTCACCAAAAATTTTATGAGCTCTGGCAGGCGACACTTTGGATAGAAAAGTTGAAACCTCTTTTTTGGGTTGTTTTTTTTTTTTTTTTTGCAGCTTTCTCCTTCT